GGAAAGTGCATGAAGAAGAGATTCGTTGGTCGATCTCACCCGAAACCCGTGGACTGCGTCAACATGAATATCGTATAAAAGCCAAACAGCTGCAGTACAACGAGATTCATCCGTCCCCGTCTGGTGAGATCAACCAACGAATCTCTTCATGCACTTTAATCCTAAATGAAGGTCCCCCTAACAATGTTATCTCAGGAGATTCATCGAAACAAAGTTTCTCTTCTTATCTACAAAGAAATAATTAAAAATCCATAACCATTGCCCTTCACCGCAAAAACTTGGATTATGAGTAAGATACGTGTAATTAATCAAATTAATGAAGAAGTATGGGGCAGCGTTAAAACGCTCAGATGTGGAAGATAAGTTAAATCAGAGATTAACAACCAGACCCAAATTACTTTGATGACCATCTGTTAATAAAGTTGATAACGATAAGCCCATTGAAAATGACTCAATTGGCAGCTGCAGAGAATGTAAAATCAAATGCCGGAATTTTCCTCTAAATACTCGAAATAATACAAATTAACGTATTAGTGAGAATGAGGGGCAATATCTGAGTTGTAAATCAGAATTTACTATATTTATGAGTCCAAATGTGAAAATCTCTCCCAGAGGTTTTAGTCCTTCCTCGCCTTTGCGCCGATAAATCCTAGACCTCGAAGCCTGGCAATCTTAACTTGTTAAAATAACTTGAGTCGTAAGCAAAGAAGCTTGTCAAAGAGAAATAGGGATATAGAATAATGCTAAAAGCCATCGGTGTAGGGTAAAGAATGAATCTGGCACTAATGAAGGGAAGTAAATTATATTAATGTATTCCGCTAAGATACAACCTGAAGGCAGCTATATTTCCAAATAGAAGGGAGCAAGCTTATTGCAACCGATTCTTGGCAGAGGCGAGAAAAAAACTAATAAGGGATCTTAAATAAATGTAACATTTCTGTCAGTGTAGTAACTATGTCGAAATGCATGGCATCGAATCACAAATGTAATATTTAATAATAATGGCCAAAAAAATAAGCCAATAAGTCTTGAAGAATTGCTTACTTTGTCAAGAAGTTTGGAAGGAAATACAAACTTGTCCGGGTAAGCGGGATCGGCAAAGCAGACGCTAACTACTCGGGAAACAGGCAGATCAGGCAGTAACGTTGGCACACCACTGGGAACACGTTCTCCAGGCATGTGGGCTATGCAAAGGTCGGGCCAGAAGCGACCAGATATTCCCTGTGTGAGGCGAGAATCAAGGACAGAGTGATCATCTGGCACCAATAATCCGCCCTTGATGTGTTTTCCTGGCGGGACAAAATATTCTGGCGTTAGTTTTAAATCCACAGCATGCTTATGCAAAGCAAGGAGAAGGCCAGCCACTGGATGAACTTCTTTTACAAAGAGGCGGTCTGGGCCACGGATGTTACGCTCCACTTCTTCGGTCGAAAGTAAATGCCGCCGTGTGTCGAGGGCCCGAAGAAGACGAAGCTCATCAACTAGGGGGAGCAAGGCAACGCCCATCCAAGCGAATCGTTTGCCATTAAGATCTACCTTAAAGTCCGTCGGATAAAAGTCAATAATAGGCGAGTTGGGATCGGTCATCAAATCTTGCCAAGCAGGTGGAACATGAGACCGTGAAGAGGCTGGAAATACAGCCATAAGTTGCTCAAGAGGACGGAACGGCTCTGTGGGCTGGGCTGAGAAATCAGTATCTATGCTGCAATATGAAAGATATACGTATGCAGCGATTAAGGAGATTAAAATAATGTTCTTTATAAATAATAGCAATTAGGCCATCTTGCATTTACAATTACTTAGGGTAAAGAATGAATGCCAACTAGCGCATCCCTGATAATAGTAGGCAAGAGCCCAACAAGTTTCCAGCCAGAATTAAGAACCCCACGACGGCAGGAATATCGTCGCACAAATTGCCCTTTTATGTTGACTCTGCATTAGAACCTAACCAAAACGAGATGACGTTTAGCTTACTCTGTTGCCTATTCCAATCCCGGTGGTGCCTCTGCACAAAAACACCAAGAATCGAAAGCACTTGCTTGGAAGCCAGAGTTTGCACTTGAAGATTTCATACTCTTATTGTAAGGGATAAGATATCGTAAGAACCGGAATTAAGTCTTTTGACGACCTAACGAAAGGATCGTCAGACGAAAAATGAGTTAGCCTAGTATCGAATATGGCAAAAACGCAACAAGA